GTATAAATATTATTATTTATGTATAAACATATATATTTAGAATAAAGAAAAAAGGAAAAAATAGGAAATGATACAAGCATGAAAATTGAAAAAAATAGAGCTATTCATTTAATTGCAATTTGTAATAAAATGGAATAATCACTGTGAGTTCCGAAAATAAGCAGAGAATATTGAAACAGATGGATGTTATATTGTTTGTGTAGAGACATTTTAATCTGATAGCAACTTCATAAAAATTTAGAAATTTTCTGTTTGTTTTTGTTCTAATTTTGTTCAGTTTATTAATAATATCTTATCTTTTAAAAGCATGCAAAAAAAGGATGATCAAAATCGGGAAATATAATCAAAAATTTGGTTTTCAAACGAACATCTAAATAATATCCTAAATAAATCTCTTGCATAGAGACAATAATCATGATCAGTAATCAAATACATTTGAAGACATTTACAACACATTGTAAGATATGGTTGCATATGCCAAAATTTTAAAACAAGTCTAATGATAGAAATAAAAGATGATTGAAAGATAATTACACCAAATACTTGTTATTAGTGGATAAATAAAATGCTGGAACTGAATTTAAGTTATATTTATTCATTTAAAATTTTTGAAATTTCTTTGTGTGTATATATTAGAATATATATTATCACCTTGTATAGTTGTTAAGTGTTTAAATACTGTTACATATATATAAACAGTTTTTATTAAAGCCATGATGCACAAATAATTTTAATATTAATATTAATATTATTAATATTATTAATATTTTTTATTTCATGTTGTAGTATTTTATATTATATTATCACAGTATTCTTAAAACATTGATATAAAAAGTTAATACAAAGATATTGAGGTTACAGTCAAGTATACATGTTATTACAAGTTTTGAATGTATATAGAAAAGAGGTTATGCCTTATTCTTGAACATCAGATAATCATTGATAAAGTTTACATTGTTGAAATAAGTTAAATTGTATTACTGATATAAAGAACAATAACACAACAATAGAGATAAAACAATGGTTGTCAGTGATTTTTTATTTGCTTGAAGATTTTACACCTGAAAAATTATATATCTAATTAAAATGTAACGAGGCACAAATATCAAAGATACTTTTAGAATAGTATATTAGAATAATATATTTAAAATAGTATACTTTTATTTACAGAACATAAAAAATGGAGAGTTCAGAAGAACCAACCAGTTTGCAATCTATATGTCATCTGCATGCTTCAGAACTGTTTCCTAAACATACACACTTTGAATGTGAGGATGAGACATTGACAATCCCATTTACACTACTGAGTGGAGAGTCAGTTGTGGCATTGGGACGAACAACTGATGGTGTTTTGGCTTTTTCAAATTATAGATTGTATCTACAATTAAGTCAAGCTTGTTACAATATACCTCTGGGTCTTATTGAACAATTGGAAGTGAAAGAAATATTCTATCTACACATTGGATGCAAAGATGCACGGTCTTTAAGGTATTCATAATATATTATTCTTTGTATCCAAATAAATGCATTAAATTGTTATTACACTTAAATTTGTTAAATATAATTTATGATAAGGTTTTGTGTGTGTATGTGTGTGGGTGGATGGGTGGGTGGGTGTGGGTGTGGGTGTGGATGTGGATGTGGATGTGGATGAGTAGGTGTGGGTATAGGTGTGTGGCACGCGCCCGCATGTGCGTGTGTGAGATGATGGCAAATGATATTCTAAAAATACTTATATTTTAGTTGTGCGTTTACTACAAACGAGCACTGTTTGGAATGGTTTAAACGATTGCACAAAGTGACCTATCCGCGAAAAAGTATAGAAGATATATTTGCCTTTGCATATTATGCATGGTCTATAGAAGAAGGCAAAGATTATCCTAGGCTTGGAAAAGATAATAGTTCTTATATTACCACTTTTAATTCAGAGGTAAGTGCAGTTTTTAAATTGTAGCTATATTTTTATATCAATTTTTATTATAATAAAATTATAAATGCTTAAATGAAATTTTATTTTAGGTCGAGCGATTGAAATTTAATTTGCATGGTACATGGCGCCTAAGTCAAATAAATAAAGATTATCGGATGTGTCCATCTTATCCGCCTCAGCTTTTGGTTCCTGCTTGTATTTCCGATGAAACCCTCGAATTTGTTGCTAAATTTCGAAGTTCCAGACGAATTCCAGCTGTTGTGTGGAGGTATAATTTTTAATTTTTAATAATATTTATTTTTATTAACATATATATTTATAATATTTATAATAAGCATTGTTTATCTTGTCGTAATAATTACGTATCTTAAGACACGTGAATAACGGCGCCGTAATAGCTCGCAGTAGTCAACCAGAAGTTGGTTGGCTTGGTTGGAGAAGTTCCGAGGACGAAGATCTTTTGAAAGCTCTTGCGGATGCATGTAGCTATGATAAAGGTGAATCTACAATGGTAGATTCGCCTATTACATATTCTGACACTGGTAACGATACTCCGAGTGCTGCCAAAGTAAGAGAATTTTAATTAATTAATTGAATTAAATTTTATGACTACAGTTTTTTTATTCTGTAGCTATATTATATAATTAAAATAATATATCTAAAATAATAATAAATAATATATAAATAAATAAAAATAAATAATATATCTAAAATTTTTTTTGTTTTATATTAATAAATGTATGTATGTGATTCAGTCTGCATATACATATGCTATATTTATAAAAATGAATCTTATAATAATTGATTAATATTTATAACTATTTGTTAAATCACAAATCATACACAAGTTTTTCGAGTTTTTGATATATTTTTTATATTATTAATTTTTTTGTCATACGTAATGATATAACAAAATTAATTTAAGATACAGCACAAAGAGAAACAAAAATTTTTATGCTGTAACAATAAGCCTCAAGAAATTAAAAAAAAATTAGATACAGATATACATAATTTATATACTATTATGTCTATATATAAATAATTTCTATTTTATAGAAAGTTTTAATTGTCGATGCCAGATCGTATACAACCGCTGTAGCTAATCGAGCACGTGGTGGTGGTTGCGAATGCCCGGAATATTATCCGAGCTGCGACATACAATTTATGAATCTGCCGAATATCCATTCAATACGAAAGAGTTTTCATGCTGTACGACAACTTTGCGCATCAGACGCAGATCAACCAAAGTGAGTATCAAAATATTGTCAAAAATCTGTTTTTTAGATGTTAGTTTAGAATCAGTTTTGGCCATTTTTTAATTCTTTAGATTTCTTTTACTGTCCATTTTTGAAATTCTTAATTTATCTTTCCATTCTAATCTTTCCATTAATTCGATTATTTTTATAGTTGGTTAAGTTTATTGGAAGGAACGCGATGGCTGCAGCATATGTCGGGTTTATTGCGGGCGGCAGTCACTGTAGCATCTGCGATTGAAAGAGATGGTCGTCCAGTATTAGTACACTGTAGCGACGGTTGGGATAGAACTCCTCAAATTGTCGCATTAGCTCAGATACTACTTGATCCATACTATCGTACTATGGAGGTATACAATATTTTTAAAAAACAATAGATATAACTAAACAATTTTATATATATTACTTAATAATTTTATATTTTCTAATTTTATATCTTATATTCTAATATACTTTATATTATATTTTATATTCTAATTTTATTTTATTTTAGGGATTTCAAGTTTTGGTTGAGAGAGAATGGTTAGATTTTGGACATAAGTTCGCCGATCGATGTGGTCAAACAATCGGTTGCGACGATCCTAATGAACGTTGTCCAGTATTTCTTCAGTGGCTTGACTGTGTCCACCAATTAATCTTGCAATTTCAATGTAGTTTTCAAATGTCGTCAGCATATCTAGTAAATATATAAATTACGGTCATTGCTATGTGTTATTAAAGAAATTATTTTTGAATAAATTGTAAATCATTTATATTTTAGGTAAAATTGGCGCAGCATACGTACTCGCAATTGTTCGGTACATTCCTATGTAATACCAGACAGGAGAGGCTGCAGTTAAGAATACGGGAACGTACGTTCTCAGTTTGGCGTTTTCTCAATTCGACTGCGTTTGTGAATCATTTGTACTCACCGTTAAAAAATCAAGTATGTTGTAGATTAAATTATATGATTGATGTAATTCCACATATAATATCTTATATGAGAAAACTTTCCAGCAACATCAATTTTCTATTTTAATTTTAATTTTAATTTTAATTTTAATTTTATTTTAATTTTTATTTTAATTTTTTATTTTTTAATTTCTTATGCTATTTTAGGTACTATGGCCGAGTTGCAACGTACGCGATCTTGTTTTGTGGTCAGAAGTATATCTAGGTTCTATGGAATCATCGCTTGGTATGAGAGACGATAAACAAAGGATGACGGTGATAGATATCGAAGGTGGTGAAAATGAAGAACCACAAGGACAAATGACAAAAACGAGATCATATGGTGATCTTATGCATGCTCCTGATCATGCTGCTTACTTGCATCGAAGACGTAGCGATCCGAGTATTTCTATTGAAAAGTATGTAATCAGTGATTCATGAATTTGTCCAAAAAATCAATGCATTTGTAATTTTTTTATTAGCGAATAAAAAAAGTGAGCAGAAATCAATTGCGCACACATCTTCCTTTAGTTTATATATATATATATATATATAAATTAAATTTTTTTTCTTGAGCAATTTTCCAGTAATAACAAAAAAATAAATATTTTTTATTTAATAATTGATTCTGTTGATTCTATTAGTTTTAAGATTTGTTGTATCTTTTGTCGCAGGAAATTTGATTCTTTAGCACTTGAGACTGAAACAGATCAAATGAGCTTGAAAAATGTGAATGATATCAAGAACCAAACTGTGAATGAAACCTTATCAGAGACTGAAAACAGGACAAAACGAGGTACCATTAATCAAACATCTAATGATTCGCCCGCCAATCCTTCGGTAGATAGTTCCACTGATACTTTGATACCAAACAACGATTCTGTTGTTCCAGTAGTAAATAGAGAGAAAGAAGCGTAAGTGTATTATATTTTTTATATATTTATATAACAATAGATAACAAATAAACTTTTAAATTAATTTGCAAAATTTGTTAAAATTTATAGACCACAAACAAGTTCACGGGATATTGTTTCACCGTGGATTGAGACCGGCACTACTACTGGGCGAATTGTTTGTTCTTCGTGTAATCGTAATCATAACGAGGGTAGTGATGTAAGTGATACTAGCGCTCCATTAATTTCAAGAACTCCTAGTAGCATATGTCCAGCTTCTCCAACCCATCAAGATGTTATATTGGATAATCCTGACTGGCTGGATGATGTTGACGGTCTTCCTGTCATATGTTGTGACATTCAAATGCGAATACAACAAATTATCGTGGAACATAAGGTATTTAAAGTAACAATTATTAACAAACAATTTTTCTATATATTCTATATATTCCTAACATATTTCTTGAGAATATAAATAATACATAATATATTCTCTGATAATATAAATAAGAGAGATGATTCTATTCTCTAAAATCTTTTAATTTATAATCATGTAATTTCTAAAAAATTATTCTTCTAGCTCAAGGAAGAAGCCTTGAGAAAGGAATTACACACGACAAGATTAGCACTAATCAAGCAAGTTTGCAATCACAATGTGGATACTGATCGTATTGATGATATTGTAAGTAGATTTTTTTGTCTTACAGTTTGTTTTTTGACTCTAACTTTGTAAATATTTATCTCATTTTTATATATATGACGATATAATGAAAAATATGTGCTGTCTTATAACTAGGGCTCATTACCTGACTCAGTGGGTAGCGCTGGTGAACATGGAGAATCATTACCATCCGATATGTCTTGGGAAGCTGTAGAGGAACTAGGTCCTGCACCTACACTATGGGTACCTGATCACGCCGTAACTCGATGTATGGGATGTAATACGGAGTTTTGGCTCGGTAGGCGTAAACATCATTGCAGGTATGCATTTTCCCCAGAATAGTAAATGTAACGTTTCTGTTCATGATAGATAGATTTATATACATAATGGAAAAAATGGAAGTTTAATAAAAAAATAACCTTTTGAAACCGAAAAAGAAAATAGTCATTTAATCAATCTTTTTAAAAAAACATGAGAAAATAATGCCTAATATGCCTAATATGTGTTCCTCATTTTATTTATATTTTATTATGCTTTTATATATTAGTAAATCGTTTCATCATTTTTATATAAAAATTTAAGAAACCTTATAGCGCCAATATAATTATCAATAAAATCTGATATGATTATTGTATTTATAAACTATGATATAATTAATATATAAAAATTTTAGCGCACTCTGACTTTTTTATTATACGCATTGTCCTATTTTAATTTTCACATCTAAATCTTGGAAAATATAGAAGATATGGAAAAACGATAAAAGTTATAAGATTTCGAGGGGGCCACATTATTATGATATTGATTTATTTGCAGACGGAGCCACTATACAGATTTTTTTATGGTCGCAATTTTTTTTAAATAGAATTATATTTTTTGTTATGTATTATTCCTTTAGTTATTTTGGATATTAAAAAATACAATTCAAACGAATTCATAAAAGAATCAATAATTTATAAAATATTTTATGAAATAGTTTATGAAATATTTTATTGTATGACATATTTTGATATAAATTATAAAATATTCCGTTACATAGAATATTTTTAATGAAATTATAATATTTTAGTATTATAAAAAGAAATGTAGAAATTTAGTATTAGTATTATAAAAACAAATTTAGCATAATATATAAGACGGAACAATTTTTTTTTAATTTTTTATCCAACTACATAACTCTTAAACATATTTTTGTATTATACATAGATGCTGTGGCAAGATTTTTTGCGCCGATTGCTCTGAGAACTCCACCCCTTTGCCTAGCGAGCAACTTTATAATCCCGTAAGAGTATGTAGCGACTGTTATGCGCGGCTGCATCACCATCATACAAACTCTTGCCTGTGCAACGCTCGTCATCAGAATATCAAAACAGAGAACGAGATAGAACGAGACTCTTTCGAAACAACATCTTTGCAGCAATCGATAATATGTCAAAGGTCGAGAAAACTGACACTCGCTACAACGAAGGATACCTGTTGTGATAATTTATTGCAGGCAACACATCAGAAAACACAACCGTCTGTTGCGGCAGCCACAGCAAACTAAAGGAAAGAATTTGTGAGAAACGTCGAACGAAAAAAAAAAATAATACGAGAAAAATGATTAATTAAAACGACATATTTGTCATATACATAATTTGTATCGCATCTGACATATGGATTAACGTGTCTAAGTTATCCTAAGCGATCTATTTATTACTAGATTAATAATTTGTACAAGTGTATAGCTGATATGGAGAAGAGATGATAGTCAGTATACGATAATGTATATACCCTAAGAATGATTTGAAACTAACGATTCGCGGAGACACCAAGATTTTTATTTCTCTTCTGAGAAATAGAAGAGAATCCTCCGAGTTTATCCAAATATTCCCACGCGCTTAATATGAGGAGAAGATGAGTGGCAAAGTCTCGGATAGGCTGTGATCGACATCTAACTTTGTAGACGACTATATTATGAAGCAAAGTGCTATTTACTTGTCAATTGATCACATGGACAGCATTGTTTGTTAATTAGTAATCGAGCAAAGTGAATGAAATCGTATTTCTTATATTGCCGTCAATGTATGAGAATTGGGATATTAAATGTCATTATCTCATCGCATACGTCTGGTATCGAATCCATACATATCGAGGACTTGTATTTTATCCTATAGATCCCTTCTGTTATTATTAGATATTCTATATAAAAAGATGTTTATCATTATGTTAATCTCCTGTAAATGTTATATTTAATTAAGGAATTGGTTTGCAGGATGTTGTATTTATTAATTTTAACTTCTTGATATCTTGAAAATTGCAGTTTTTTACACTACTGGATTAGACATTTATCTTGGCTTCAAACAAACAAATATTTTTAAAAAATAAATAAACATGTATTAATTTTTAAAAAGCTTTATTATAGGATCAAGAAAAGAAGCAAAAACAAAAATATAGTTTGTCCTAATTTAAACCTAATCTTCCTGCCGTGATATTGTGAAGTGTCGATGCATTCTTCAGCATCTGCGTGGCATTCTTTAACATATTATCAAAATTACCTTTTGTATCGTCCTCCTTTTGAAATTGTATGAGTATTACAAGATATGTTGTAACGGCGCCAGCAATCTAAAAAATTAATATTTTTATATGTATTTATATTTTTTAAAAATTAATGTGCGCACAGAAAATTTATTTACTGAAGTTACGAGAGTTCGATCTAAAGTAAAAAGTCCACATGCTGAGAATTCTAAAGGACGATGTAGAAGTTGAAGCGAAAATATCTCTAATTGTTTTCTGCCTTCTCTATCAGGGCTCACCGATAGTAATTGACTGACCAAAGCTGCTGTTTTCTTTCCCTGAAAATAGAAGTATATACCATAAGATTATACGATAAGATTATGAAGGAAAATTATTGAGGGGAAGAAGGAGGGAGCAGGCTGAAGGAAGGGGTGGAAGAGAGAGAAAAGGAGGAAGACTCAATAAGGGCGCCGATATTCACTGCCAGTATTGAAAATTTATATATATGATTTAAACTATATTTTCAATACAGGATCCTTATTCTTGAAACATATCGCGTACGAAAATCCTATAATATATGTTGCATACATTATAGGATTTTTATGCGATATATTTTCAAGAATAGGACCTATAGTAATGAATATCGAAACCAGTGATCTCTATAACACATTGGAATGCTTACGAGGAGGAATTTTGCTCGATAAGAGTAAACTAAGAAAAGAAATAAAGTAAATAAAATAAAAAAATAAATCAGTGTGACTGAAATTTATTAAAAGAAATATTTGTGTGATGATTGTGGATCTCCATAGGAAATTCTGTCCATCAGGAAATTTATCCGGTTTTCTTAAAGAATTCAAGAAACAGTACAAGATCATCAAATTATCTCTACAAAATAATGAGTGAGTGAATGTGTGAGTGAGAGAGAGAGAGAGAGAGTGTGTGTGGCGCGCGCGCGCGCGCGCGTGTGTGTGTGTGTGTGTGTGTGTGTGTGTGTGTGTGTATGTATGTGAATGTGTGCTAACAAAATCTTTGTTCTTAAGTCCTGACTTAATGTCAAAGCGATTTTTCCTTTTCAAAAACACGCGTGCTATAAATTATTATATACGCGTATTATGTGTAACCAAATCGATTGATTATAGCAAGCGCCTGTATTTGATGGTGAGTTGCGTCATCCTTGCCTATCTTTTGTATTTGACCTGTGATATGATGACTATATCTTTTAATAATTCAAAAACTAAGCTTTGGACAAAATTTTAGAAAAATTATCTCAGAATTTAGTCAGAAAAATGAAACATTTTAAGGACAAAGATTATTTTGAATCATCCTGTGTATATATATATATATATATTTGATACTTTATTTAGCTGTTATGACTGATGCATTGAAATTTTTGTCGATTGCGAACACGTGTTTTCCAGGCTCAATTTCCTGGTGAGTGACTAATTTTTATAACATTTTATATTTTTGTAATTATGATTTATGATAAATTTGGAAAGTCGTCTACATACAGATTGTTTTCTTGTTCGGCCTTGCAATCGTCGTGAACGATACATTTTTTTACATCTATTGATATGCTGGTCTTGCACATCTTTAATATGCTGGTCTTCATTATTGAATTTCAAGTTTAATTTTATTATTGCTTTTCTCTTATTCTATTAATAATTTCAATAATAATAAAAAATTAACCGAAATATTCATTTTTTTATTATAATTATGTACGGTGATTTTTTAATGTAAAATAAGTTTATTAAATTAATATTTAGTTTATTAAACTAGCATTTCTGATTTAAATATTTCGTTTTATTTTTATTAATAAATTATTATTATGCATTACTTGATTTATATTTATTTAAATAATAAACCTCTGTTGTAGCAGCGTACGTAGGTTGTACGATCATAAGTAATCTCCAAATATGAAAGATGCACCACAATCCTTGTACCGCAAGAAATAGTGGTTCACGTCTTCCATCGGCTTCAATTATTAAAAAATATGGTGTAATAATCAAGTGTATCAGGCAGGTAATCGTAATCACAAGTGCAACAACGCCGTAAGCAGCATTTATAAGCGTCACTGTATCACAAAGTGATGCATGTACTGTCATCAATTGGGATATGTTGTCCGTGAAACTTTTGCCATCTAAGAAAAGATTTATTTTAATTATTATTAAAACGATTGTTATTATATTTAATTAAAGTTTGTTATTATATTTAGTTAACTATCATTACGAAACTATTATTATCTAATTGCTCCAATTTTCTTAATTTTTTAAGAAAACAAGATACATTGCATTTATTATTATTATTTTTATTATAATTTATGCACGATTATATATATATATATATATATATATATATATATATATATATACACACACACACACACACACACACACACACACACTACTTA